TTAAGACTTCAATTTTTTTTCTCTGCGATTCCTTATAACCAAAATAACACTCTCCAAATTATTAAGAAGTATTAAAGCCTGAATATTCACCCTCTGTGCTTTCTCATGCTCCTCCCGTGCCTTCTTCACTCTCTCCATTCTTTCCTTGATTTCCTTTTCTTCACGCTTCCGCTCATATTTTCGTCGATGTTCTGCAATTTTCTGAGCCTGTTACAACAGAATACCAAAATTTCATATAAATTTCTAGCATATCACACAACATATTTCAATACAAAAGCTTTTCTGCTTTTACCAGAAAATTAAGATCTGATTATACATCCTAAAAGCCTCTTTGTTTTAGGAGCCATTTGCTACTTTCTTCCCATGGCTATCAGTTATTCATCTCTACTCAGCCTTGACTGAACTCACCAGTACATGCACTCCAGTATATTTTTTTTGCATTATTTTTGGGACTTGTACCATAGATAGAACTTAAACATATCATCATTCCATGTCCCTTGATGCTTTTATAGTGAAATATTGATTTCTCCAGGGCTAAAACCAGCAACTGCCCTGGAAAAGGGTACAACAGAAAATATAATTCCTCCTGCGCATACACACTTTTTAGATAATGTTACTGCTGTTGCAGATGCCTCTACAGCACGTAAGCACACCAAAGAATTCCTCAACCTAACCAGAAAAGGGCTGGTGGGGAGGAAGTTTGCCTCCTATTACTAACTTTTTCTTAAGTGCATCATATTTACAGCCCCAGTGAACAAGAGGAGTTAGCAATGAACTCCCTAAGGCTCCTCAGTCAGGACTCATTTAACAACAGAACCAACAGAAAACGAAATGTATCTGTTCAGAGCACCACAAAAACCGGTTTGTTATTTCACAAATTGCGTACGATGGTTGCTAACACTCTCGTAACAAAAAAAAAAAAACCACACCAAAATCACACTGCAACAACAGAGGTACTACTATGACAATGGATACTCTTGTATTATTTAAGAATACTCTTTAAAGGAAGAAATTATTTTATAAGTAGCAAAGCTTTGATAAAACTTATTTTAGCTGGGAGATACTCATTCAATACCACATCACTCCTGAAGTATATCTGCCAGAGAAGGCACACTGCAGGTAGCAGGACTGAGAGGGAATGCACTATGTGCTATCAGAACCTGATGTCACTGCCATTCAATGGCCCATTAAAAGAGAAGTGAGTGTCCTAATTTTTTTTTTAATGAAGCATAAGGAGTTTCCAAAGTTTGAATGTTCATTATTTTTAAGTATTTATCAAAATGAACTAAATATTCTTAGAATCTGACTCAGACTTTGAGCTGAAAGTGCTACAAAGTAAAAAGTTCTAGGAAAGCTTGAAGCGAACAAATCATCTTCACTTAAGAGATTTTGAAAATCACCCATGAAAAGATCATACATTTTTCCTTGAGTTACATACACAAATTCTCATCCAGTTGGCAGCATCAGATTAACCAGGAAACAGAAGGTTCCCCCTCAGCCAAGCATTAACTATACCTTTAAAAAAAAAGCTGAGACCTAAGACTTAATTACATTAACCACAGATCAATAATCTCCGACACAGAAGACTAATAGGTTGTCAAATGGTTTCCATTGTCATTTTGCTAGAGACAGCATCTTCTACAAAGGCATGGCAGAGAAATGGAAAGCTTAAGTTATTAGACACAGGAGTGTTTGTGCATGTGGTGGGTTAAGCCTGGCTGACTGCCAGATGCTCACTAAGCCGCTCTCTCACTCCCCCTCTTCAACAGGACAGTGAGGGAAAATAAGATGGAGAAGCTCCTGCCTTGAGATTATCCCAAGACAGAGATCACTCATCTGCTACCATCATGGGCAAACCATAGTCAACATCAGGAAGCTTAATTTAATTTACTGCCAATTAAAAATAGTCAGACAATGAGAAACAAAGTCATAACTAAAACCACCTTCTTCCCAAAGGTCAAATTTACTGCTTCATTCTCCAGCTCTTTCACCTTCTCCCCCAACCCTGAACAGCACAGTGGGATGAGGGCTGTGATCAGTTCATGACGTTGCAGCTCTGCCACTCCTTTCTCTTCACAACTTTTTTCAAGTCTCAGCTTGTGGTCACCTCACAGGATACTGCCCTTCACAAACTGCTCCAGCGTGGGTCCTCCCCACCGGGTCCTTAAACAACAGACTGTCCCAGCATGGGTCCCCCAGGAGCTACAGCTCCTGCCAGAAAACCAGCTTCTGCGCAGGCTCCTCTCTCCAGGCTGCAGTTTCTGCCAGGAGCCTGCTCCAGTGTGGACTCTCCACGAGCTGCAGCTTCCTTCAGGGCCCATCCTCTTGCTCTGGCATGGGATCCTCCATGGGCTGCAGGGATCCTCCATGTGTGCTCCACTGTGGGTTTCCATGGGCTCAAGGGGGGCAGTCTGCTTAACCATGGGGCCTTCTCCAAGGGCTGCAGGGGAATCTCTGATCCCATGCCTAGCACACCTCCCTCCCTTCCTTCTTCACTGATCTTGGTGTCTGTAGGGTTGCTTCTCTCGTATTTTTCTTCTTTATTCCCCTCTCTCTCTCACAGCTGTTCTGCTGCATTTTTTAACACCTTTCTTAAATGTGTTATTACAGAAGCACCAGCACCATGAGCATCGCTTACGGCTCAGCTTTGGCCAGTGGGGAGTCAGGTCAGGAGCCAGCTGGAATTGGCTCCGTCTGACACAGGGGCAGCCCCACGTCTCTTCTTACAAGAGGCCAGCCCTGCAGTCCCCACCTTCCCCCAAACTTCCCATGTAAACCCAATACAACGCAACAGCTGCCATCTGCAGTCTGTGAACCACTTCAAAGGAATGGATAGAAACAGATGAAAAGAAAGCCTGCTATCAATAGTGCTACATTTGTTACACAGAAGTTCTTCCTTTAGAAGAACGCTGGGGTCAGCCACATGAGAACAGCTGAAAACCAGTTGTGCAGAGCTGAGGCTGCCCTCATGGGGCAGGCTAATGAAAGTGCAAACCACAGCAAAATGCTTCCTTTGGAAAACGTGCTTAGGACAAAGCTTTGATCGATTCAAAAACATCTAGGAAAAAAATCCATTATCAATGTTATCTTGCTCTTCTGAATGCTTTTAATCTAGATTCTAAAATACCTGGCAAACTTCAACTGCTTCAATTTCTTCTGTTAAAATTTGAAAAAGAAACATATTTCATACTTCAATTACATGCCCAGTCCCACAGACTCAATTTCTCTACACAGCCATAAACAGCTGTCACTGAAGACAGAAGAATTTATAAACTCAGTTTCAAGTGTCAGATGACACATGAACATATTTCCACATGGCAGTGCATATTGGAAGAACATGAAGGCAGCAATCCAGCATTCTTCCCCACTTACTCTTGGTTGCACCTCCTTCAGCATGGCACTAGCATCTTCATCATAATCCAGTTTACAAGCTAATGCAAGATCATGAGCAGCCTCCTCCCAGTGGCCAAGAAGTCTGGAATACGGAAGACACCAACATTCAGAGGGAGAAAGCAAACTGAACACCTACAGCTCTTCAAAATATTTAATCACGCAGCATTCAGAATTTTAACCGGGAGTTACAAGGACTTATGGAAGTTTAATAATCATGATGTTTCCTCTAAGCTGCACACTACAATATTATTAGAGGATTCTTGCTTGCTTGTTTCATACACTTACAGTAACTTCTGTTTGAAGTAACAATGAGTAAAAAACCCTCTGTGAGCTGGTGTCATTGCTATAAACAAGAAGGATCTAACAGGGTACCTTACCTAACCATATGAAGCACACTAATAAAATATTCTGCACCATTAGGCACATGTTCAGTGTAAAACTACATGTTCAGCGTTCTGTACAAGTCTATCCCACTACTATCTCAAGTTTTAGTGGACCCTCTTTACTCAGCACTCAAACTTCCTAGCTGTCTGGATGCACCATGTCTTAGTTGAAGAGGTCATACAAGCTCCTGTGCACACTTCTTTACTATCAATTCATTCAAACTGCAGGTAATAAAAAATTGAAGCAAACGGTAGTACTACCAAATGGTCAAAGCACTTCTGCTCACAGACAGAGGTATTAATTCAAACCATGCTCCAGACTTCTCACTGTTAGGTTCCACGCTGTGTATTAAAACTGTAGACATTAACATATTACTCTTTGAACACTTTTTTTTTTAAGTTCTATTAACATTTACTTCTTCCACTTTGATACTGACCATGAGAAGTGTCACCTTTTTTTTTTGACTTACTGTCATTTAAAAAAAAAAAAAAAAAGCTGAACTATACTTGGGGGGAAATGCCTAATGTCATTTTAAATAACTGTTTAATAAACTGTTTGCTTAACACCACTCCTCAATTGCAACAAACAGTTCCTTAATAAGTAGGCATTTCAATTTACTACATAAAAGAGCTTTAGGATCTAAGGAATAAGGACAGCAGAGAGATGTCTAAGAATTATAGGTTAGTAAAAAAAACCTGAACCAACTGAAACCAAAAGGCCTCCAGACAAATAAAACAGACAGCCCTAGATCTCATAATCTTTCAGAAAAGCAGTAAGCTATTAGAAGATATGTTTAAAAAAGACAGACAAAGAGACAGTGCCAGGACTGCTCATAAATTGCCACCAATAAATCACCATCGTCCTTTCTTTCCTCTAAGCCACATACTCAGCACAATGGTTTCTTGGCACACAGTTACTGCTCTCAGGTTCAAGACAGACAGTTCAGACACAGAGAAGGAAAAAATGTATAAACAAAACTGTTCCCTCCAACTAAGTAAAGATAAGATCAAGTATAGGTGCAGTTCATTACCTATGTGCTTTCCCCCTCCATTTGTAGGTCTGTGCTGAGTCAGGATTAATCTTGATGGCTCTGTCACAATCTCTAATGGCAGCATTTGGCTTCTGCAGTTTCACAAAAACACTGTGGGAACAAGAACATTTACTGTACATATTGAAATACCAAGTTACTAACTTAAGCTGGAAATAATTTTGGATGACTAACAGGCAAGCTAGTGAAATAATGTAAGAGCTGAGTTAAAAAAAGATTTCGTAGCGGTAACAAAGTCACTAAAATTTAGTCTCACCCTCCCAGAATTGTAGGTGAATCATTAGCAAGAACTGAAAGCATTCGTTGTTCAGACTCAAGCCTTGCCAGCAAGAATAACTCTAGTCCCGAAGGAAAGGATACATGAATGCAAAGGACAGTTCAGCCCCATGGTGTTTGGAGTCTATTGAAAATGGCAATTAGCAACTTGTACAAAACAACAGTAACATTCTGCATGCTATATTACATAGTCTTTAACACGGTAACACACAGAAAGTATGAGGAGTTATACAAGCTACAAGGATCAACAGCTAAAGTCATGAGGAGATGAGGCATCAAAACTAAAAGCAGCAAAACACACAAACCCAACAAGTAGCCCCAGTCCCTCATCAGTTAAATGTAATAACTGCAAATTAGAATACACAAGCGTATCAGACTGACTAGTAGAGTGGTACTTTACGAGGTTCAGGCATTTCAAATTAAAAATCTCTGAAGGAAACACTAGAAAACATTCCTGAATTGACAAGAGTATTCAATATTGAACATACTCCAAGTCAGAACTTCTGTCCTTTTACATCTACTTGAAAACAGTTTATCAACAGTTATCATGCCTGTAAGTAACTTCACCATTAAGGCTTGTTATAAAGCAAGCACAAAGTCACACATTGTCTGCTAGAAACAAACAGGTAGACTAAGCATCTGTGTTCCAAAGCTACACTTCACCAATGACAAACATTCCAATGCTGCTGGCAGCACAAACCCCTCAGAACCAAAATCCAAGGGGTGAATTACTCTTAGCACTTGGATCAGCAGGGCAAGTTTTACAATATCTTAACATATTGCTCATTTCTTTCTACAACAGACCAAACTGAGGTAACTTTTACACTTCCCCTAACACTCTTATTTTTCACAGCTAAACCCTGAGAAGATATAGCACTGTAAGAGATTTTAAAAATACTGTTTTGATGACAACAACAACAGTGTATTAAAGTACACAGATGGTGTTACATGCCAAAATTTTGATAGGGAAAAGAAAAAAAACAGCAGGGCAGGTACCAGTTAAAGTGTACTAGAATGGAACAGTTAAAGGACACTAATTAATCTCATAAAAGTCACCAAAAGTTGAACATTTATTTGAATTACACTTTGCTATGGAAAAGACCCAGTAAACTATCAAATAATCCATGGTTGGTGGGTTTTTTTCTGTAAAAAGAGAAAGAACCCCAAACTTCTGCTTCTGCAACCCATACTTGCCCAGAATTAGGAAGATAAAGACGTTTGTCCATTATGAAGTTGGGGTTACCCCACAACAAATCTGACAGTTCCCAATGCATCATCTGCAGTCTGGCAGATGTAATTAGCAGTAAGGTGGGTAGTGAATGGGTTGAGATATAGATGTGTTCTATTCAAACAAAAGAGTGTTGAATAGAACCAAGTCTACTTCACAGTGAACAAATCCATTTAGCAGGTATGACAGGGAGAGAATTCACAGGATTCATATTTAAGTTTGCATTTAAACAGGATATAATTTCAATCATCATCTTAATCCCAGAATAAACTTCAGATTTTACAAGTGTTTGTTAGCCAGCATTACTCTATCTCAACAAACCAAAAGCCGTATTGCTGAGGAACACATTTGGTGCAGGCAGCTTGACGTGCAGCTGCAGGTTGAGCTCTGGGTGGAGACCTTTGCAGAACAAAAGGCCCACGGACCTGTGGCCCAGCCTGGTGACCGGACACTCAGAGACACTGCAGGAGCTGAGGACTCCAGACATTCCAACACTTAAGGCTGTGAGGGCATAAAACCCCAGGGCTTCCTTTGTTCAGGGTCCCTCCTCAAAGGCACCAGCTCAAGCTGTTATTTTGTTATTGCACCACGATTAAATCATTTTAAGGATCCAGATGGTTGAGCCTCTACTATGGGAAACCCAGGATCATGACAGTAAGGACACCTAGACTGACTCTGTGAGTGTGGGGTATGTAGCTGAGAAGGGCCTTCAATCCCAGAGCAGGTGGTGAGAGTGGGACTGCTAGAATGGCTGGAAAGTTTCCTTAATAATATTACCACAATGCATTTTGGAATACCATTCTGTATTTACTCTATTATCAAGATCCTTCATGTGGCTGCTTCAGCAAATCTGGTGAATCACATATAAGGGAAAATGCATGAAATGAGCTTTTCTCTTTGCGTCATGTGATTAAAGCTTACACAGATCCTCAAGTTGTCATTATATTTAGACACCTTAGGGGAAATAACAGAACAGGCGGAAACATCAGTAGTTTATGACTCACCTCGCTCTCTTGGCATACAAGATGGCCAAACAAGGATTCAGCTTGATAGCATCTGTGAACAAGTCAACAGCCTTCTGAAGTTCACCTAAATATAAGCACCAATGAAGCCGCAATCATTATACAACGAAATTACAACCAAATTCCAAACCTGCCTTACAGGGTGTTACATCCCTAGGCACTTCTTAGATCGAAAATTATCAACAAAGGAAAATCAATTTCTCCCTCTTTCTATGTTACTGATGTACAAACCCAAAATTAATGCTGGAGAAGAGAGACTTTTCCCAACTAAACTGGTACATTTAACTTTGAATGCAATCAATTAGGATGTCACATCTTTATTATACAGCTTTTCACTGCATGAAGACAAACCATAGAGACACTAATCATAATATGCAGGGAAGTACTATAACGATCAATTTGTAATTAAGATGCTGCAGTGCCTCATCCCCCTCTCCCACCTTCCCCAAAACTACAGGAACATTGGGAAGGCAGTGCTTAAAGAAGCTTTCATATTCCAGATAATTTTGAACATTGAACAGGAAGTGGGTTTTCTCTTCCTTGAAAGCATTCAAAATGGTCCAAGATATTTACTTTTTTTTTTAAAGGAGAATGAAACCTAATGTCTTTGAATATGTACTAAAAAATAATTTATCACCTTCACTTAGAGCATTTATCGCTTCAATCTTCTTTTCATTAGCTTGATCCGCCATCTCTTCAGTTACCTAAAAAATAAAATGAAAAACACACACACAAATCCAAAAGCTGTAGATTCCAGGCCAGAATTACCATGCTAAGACGGCATCAAGGGAAAGAGCTTCAGTTTTCCAATTCCAGAATATTTATTTTACTTTGCACTGAAATCATAGTTCAAAAAAAAGCCACAAACTCCTTTATTTTTAGCTTGAAGACATTATCCAACATGATTTTTGTCTATAAAATGCTCAAAAGCTATGTTTAATAATGGCAGAATTCTACATATCTAATTCTCACGGGTGTTTTGATAAGGTTCTTTGTTGTTTGCTGACCTGATCTTCCTCATGGAACTTTTTGATTGACTCTAGTCTTGAATAAGAAAAACTGTGATTTTAAATTAGTAAGTTTTCTGTTTAGAAGAAAAAGAGACAAAACAACAGCTGTCTGCACAGATAACACAGTACTCATCCTCCCTCAGCTGCTATCCTTGATTAAATGCAAAATCTCTCCCTATCTTTCCTACTGCCACACTGAAAATATTGTGCTTACCTCCACATTTTCATCCCCCATTTCTTGAGGGTCATCGTTGTCTGGTTCAATCACTCCCTCATTGTCAATTTCTGGAGGAAAAAAAAAACACAGGACTAAGCACCATCTACAGAGAGAAGACTGTCAGAATAACTTTCACATTGGCAAAACTCAATAAAGTAAACTCTTTTCCCCACCTAAGTCACTCTCTTCACTTTCTGGTTCGGGTGATTTAACCGGTTCCTCTGGCTGTTCCTCTGCTTTGCCCTGAGAGAGAAATTTATTTGTGAGCAAACATTATTTCTGATTGATTTCCACTCTCATAAATAACAGTGTATTAGAAAATTCACTCAACATCTGAACCATTTTATTTTTAAGATACTAATCTCCTTTTTCCTCCTCTCAGATTAAGTTTATCATGTATGCAAATATTTCACAGCCCAAATCTGGACACACAAACTTCTATTATTGGTAGAGCCTGTCCTTCAAATTGTGTGATTCCATAATCAAAACCAAATAATGCAAATAACACCCAATTCAGTACTAGTTTTGCAACGATTACTAACCAACCTCTCCAATCTTCCCGCCTTCCCTCACACATTCTCTAGGTCAAAAAATCTCACAATCTAATACTATTAAGCTAAGGTCCTTTAGCAGGGAGCTGATGACAATTATTTAAATATCGTTTCCATTTGCCAAGGTCAAAGATTGTTGCCACTTACACATACTTAGAATGTGTTTTTTTCAAAGGTTTTCTTATCAACTTCTAAGTAAGTTTCATCTGAAACCCACAACTTAGCACATTCTGCTTTATCACACACATAAGCTGCTTGTCTTCAGTGTCACGGACTACACTCAGTACGTACACACAATCCCTCCATATAGCTCTAACTAGCCAGTAATTCCAGCATCCACGGTCTTGTTAAATAAATAAATTTAAAAAATTTCCTTTTTTCCAAAAGAATTTCAAGCTTGAAAAAAATTCTGAAATAAATATCAGAGGCGAATTTGTTATCATCTCCCTTAAAATAAATGGACAAAAACCAATGAAAATCTATTCCACAATACTGTGTTAAAAATGTGATAGTTCAACCATTCACTTCATTACTTATCATGCTCGTTAATATTTCTTCTCATGAAAAGATTATAATTTAATCCACTAATGACTAGAGAAGAGGTTTATAAACAGACAGTGAGAACATAAAAAAAGAAATAAAGACTCTGTTCGGCATTTGCATTGCAGAGAACATCAGGCATTCAGGATTAGGGAAATGGAGCATGATAACACTTGAAATAAACTAGGAAGCCATCTGTAACAAGTCATGTACAACACACAATGGGCAGGATTCAGACTGAACTGTCACACTCACCCACCCTATCTGAGTTAAAACTGACAGAAATTTCTCCCCTTCCGCTGCTCAGTAATTTCTGCAGCATCCAAATGTTAATTTTCAGTGACAAATCTTTTGTATCTCACCTTACTTGTCTCCTCTGTGGAGGCATTGGCTGGAGCAGGCGGTATTGTGCCTCCCATACTTTTCAGTAAAACAGAGAAAAGAAAAAACAAAACAGTAAGATTATCAAAATAATGTCATGTATTTTATTGATTCAAATCCTGATAATCTCAGCTTTTTGTTGCAACACAAAACATGATGATCCAATTCACTTTCAAACCAGCAAACGGTGCACACATCCCCCATGCTTTTCTCAGTGCAGTACAAAGCACACTGTCTGTTGTACAACTCCACTGAGACCTGGACTCATGAACATCACCCTTCACCCACCCACCCCTTCTCACCAGGAAAAGCTGCCTCCTTGGCTCAAATGGATTTTTTCCTTTAAATGTAATTTATGTTTGAATCAAAATAAATATTATGATTATAGATACTACTAAAATTAGAATTATTTTTGGAACAGAGGCCAAACACGTAAAGAGAATGAGCCAAAATGCTTATGCAATTAAAAAAATTGCTGCCTAGGAAAAAAAAACCATTTCTCTTCTGTATTGCAATATTCATGCCTTCCCTCCACTACAATTAAGGAGCATTCTTTGTAGAGACAGCATTCTGTCAATATAGAAAAAACTTCTACATGGTATCGATCCTGGTTAGCAGCCAGGAGTAAACACAGGTTGAATTCTCCAGCTGTTTCACAGAACATCTAATCATACCTAATGGCAGCATGCCACAAGGAGTACCATTCCCATCCATCCCCTGCCCTGCATTCCCATCCAATGATGGTTTTCAATAAAAGTGTTTCTATTAACTCAGTGGGTACAACCAGCTCCTTGGGGTCCCACGCAAGTGCTTTGATGGGATGCAGGGCAGAGAAGGACGTGGGCAAATAGGGGTGGGCAGGAGGAGCTGGAAGGGTGCAGGACTATCTGCTTTCAGGAATTAGTGCAACATAAAACTGTATCCTAAGGATAAGAAATTACAGCTGCTTAAGTCAGGCTACTGCCGTCCATTCTCTCCTCTTTCCTCCCTCCTGTCAGCAGCACCATCTCACAGCCAGGCCCCAAACTGGCTGAAAACAAACCTGGATGAGGCAAGACATGACAAGGACAGGGATGAACTGGGGGGGAAATGGTAGAAAAATGAAGAGACGGCCTGTCAAGAGGATTGACAGGTCCTGGCACACAGCCCTGCAGCAAAAAGCAGGCAAACAGCACTAAACTACTCCTTGTTTACATGGAAAAACAAGGGACAAACCCCAGCATGTGCTGAAGCTATTGCAAAAATCTAGATGTGTCCCTGGAATGTTGACATTACTTAACCTAAGTTATACTGCAAGGACTAAACAACTACAGTCTGAGAAATCATTACAGAGCTAGGAGGAATACACGGAACATGTAGTAACTGTTCCTCCTAAATTTTTACCCTCCTAGGCTGACAATACAACACATAATTCTACTAGTCTGTAAAAACCAAAGAGAGTTCTTAAAGACTACAGGGACCATCTAGTGAAGCCTTGGAACTTTTTTCTGCACAAAACCCCCTAAAAATTATGAAGCATTTTAGCCGTGTTAAAATAGCTAATATCCATGGTAACAGCAGGGTTTAAGTCTGGCATCTTGAATCATCTCAAGATCAAAACAACTTAAGTCTCCTCTGTCTTCTTCACAACCAACCCCCCCAAAAACGATCCAAGTTTGGAACAGTTTTGAGATTAGTTTAACTAATATAAATGCACATTTTATAATATACTATTTCATCAACTTCCAAGGCTTAACAGTTTCACTTAGTCCTTGAAAATGCTTTTGCTATCCTGTTATTCTCTATTTAAACTAGTTACAATTCCAGAACAATTCAAAAGCAAGTTACCCTAAAATCCCTCAATTCAGTATTTGATTACAATGATTAAACACACAGCAAGGATATCTGCGAAGTTTGCAATGTATTTAACCTCAACAGTACAGGGATACACAAGATACTCTCAGAGGCAGGTGCTGAGCTGTATAAAAAGAACACACACACAAATAGATTCTGAATTAAACTCTTGTTTAATTAAAAAAAAAAAAAAAAGGAATAATAAAACATAATAAACTAAAACAGAGTTGTGCAATGCCAGCAACAACTCCTGGGAGTTGTCAGGACTCCATTGCAACAATGACTGCATTCTTCCACTCCTCACAGTCACAACAAGTATGGTGTTTATGACTTGCTGGAAGAACTGCAACTGTTATTTCTGCATCTACTTTTATCACTGACAGTAAAACTATCTTTAGAGAGAAACTGGATTACCACGAATTCGAAAGGGTCAAAGTCTATTTGACCAAAACAACAACAAAAAAAAAGGCAAAAAGCTCTGTTCATCAATTAGGGACTCTGCGCTATACTTCTAAGGACTGCTATTGTTTCTTTGTTCAACTGCAGGGTTTTGAAACATGTTTCCTTTAATGACTCATTTCATAATAATTCAAATAAAACATTTGTATTTTTATGCAATTATGAAAAAGTGGGCATGATTAAAAGGGATGTCAAAACACTTTCCAAACATACTCAGATACTACCTTATGCTTTTTCTGCAAAGAGCATCCATACAGAAATTAAATACAACAGCTAGACACAGTAAAGGTTAGAAGACAACAAGTACATGAAAACAGGCAAGACTTAAGGTTTCTGATGCAATATTAAGAGCTAGTCAGAAATAAAGCATCCCATTCTGGATTTCTGAACAGCCAGCTTAAGCTAAGTTAGAATCATTAAGTTTAAGAAAAAAAAAAAACAAATCAAAGCAATTAGCAGAATTTTAGTTGAAAATTCAGTGGGGGATATAAGAGTTATGGAAGTTATTTCCACCTGAAGCCAGGCCATGCCATCTCAAGCAGTTTCCAAAGAACAAGAAGGGCCTATAAATGCACCTAATAGTCCTACTGCAAGCAGCAATATTATGGAAGGACAGAGGGAAACCCACCAGACTTCCAGTTTTACATAAAAAGTCATCTGGCTACCACTACCATCAACCAAATGTATAACTTAGGCAAAAATTTAGCTCAAATATGTGAGGAAAACCAGAAAACTTCAGAGCGCTGTAGAAAGTTCTACTCTGGAGTGTTTTTCTACTTCTGAGATAAACACATACAGTGAAGATTTTACAAGAAAAAACACTCCACAGCTCCAAAATCTTAATTTTTACACTTATAAGAAAAGCACCAAGCATAACTAAAAATTAATCTTGAAATTAAAGCCCTCCCCATTAATATGGAGAAAGGGAAAGGAAAGGTGACCATCTAACACACTTTCTTTGGCCAAAAGAAGTCAGCGTTCTTCCTCTCTCTCTCTTTCTCAAAGTACTCTGTCCACACCTTCAGAATTAGGCAACAGAAGTAATGAAGGAAACCTAGGATAAAAGGCCCTGAAGTCTTTTATGCAGCAGCAAAAGGAGCTAGAGATCTTCAGCAGGATAAGACAGACACCTATCTCCTTCCTACACACAGGTGCAGCTACTATCAGTACTACAAAGCCAAGTTAAGTTATATAGGAGTGGTTTTATAACCACACTAGTATTCAGATGCATAAAAAAAGTTTAAGCATTCCTGTGAAAAACCACTAATAAATAGTTCATTGTAGGCGTTTTCATTATAGGACATATTGTAAAATGCCAGTATTAACTTTTATATATATATATATACACGGGCACATAAAGCCCTGCTGGTTTCTCAACTAATTACGAATACCATACAGCAGGAAGTACAGTTGCAATACCTTCAAACTAAAGCAAATTTTTTAAAAACAAATCCCAGTTTATCACTAGATAAAAATCTTTTAACCTCCTGTTGCATAAAGTGAGCACCTGCGAGAACGTTCTTCATTTCTCGAAGTTCTTTAGAGTAGCAGCCATAAAACCCAAGCAGAGGTACTGCAGCTGAACACACGGGCCCTGTGGGTTCTCTGCCAGCAGCAAAGGACCTCAACCCTTCCAACTTGTTTCTGGGCCCTGAGGGTGGAACCCAAACATGATTTTTAATTGAGAAGCATCTGCTAGGACAGGCCCCCTGCACATAGGCTACGTGCAGCGTAAACAGCAGATGTCTGAAGGGGCTCACAGAGGAGCACAGACTTCGACTACTTGATACGTGGAACTTCAAGGAGCAAAACACGCTTTGGACAGGAAACGCAGCTGTCAGGTACTTTATGCTTCTGGGTACCAGGCTGTAAATTAACGCCACTCACCTCCCCATAAACTCGGTTCCTTTTTAAGACAGGCTAGCCAACTCTGCTGCGTAATGCGAGAATTAACTCAGTAAGTATTACTCTGGGGCTTTCCAGCCTGGAAAGCTGAGCCACTGAGATGGCCGGGGGGCAGGCTTTTTCCAACGGGAATAGCCGGCGTTAACGGAACAAAACAAACAAACAACAGCAAAAATAACAGGTCTTTTTAAGGCGCCAGGGGTACCCCCGGCGGGCCGGGCCGGGCCGGGCCGGGGAGGCCGCAGGGCCGGGCCGGACCTACGGAGGCGACACCGCGCGCCCCCCGCGCCCGCCACGCGGCGGGGCCGAGCCTGCACGCGCTGAGGGGACACGCCTCCCTCCCCTCACACCGCGTCCCGCGCCACAACACCCTTCCCCCCGCTCCCCCTCCCCGCACGGCCGCCTCCCGCCACGGCCCGGCACCGACCTCTCCACCCACTCGCGGAGGAAGGCGAGATCCGGGGTGTGCAGCAGCCCCGGGTTCTGCTTGCACAGCCGGACGAAGGCCCGCAGCTCGCTCAGCTTGCGCGCGTCCATGGCGGAGCGGCGGCGGTAGAAGCACCAGCGGCGTCCCAGGCGCGCGCGCTGCCCCGCCCCCCTGCCGCGGAACCTTCCAGCCCGCCCCGCCCCCGAGACCCCGCCCACCACGGGGCCCCGCCCACTGCGGGGAACGCCACGCCCTCGCGAGGCATTGCCCTCCCGATCCCGGGGATGGCCACGCCCACAGCCTCGCGTGGCGCCATGGAAGCTTCCAGCGCGCCCCGCCCACCCCGAGGCCACGCCCGTCCCCCACCGTCCGGCCCCCCCTCCCCTCCCCCCCCACTCTCCGCGGCGTGGCGCGGCGGCGGGAATTTTCTGGAGTTGGGCGCGGTGGCCGCGTCCGGCCCCGCTCCCTGCTGGGTGTTGCCGCCCGCTCGCTCGCTCTCCCCCGACTCCGCTGCCGCGCCGCGGCCCGTGTTCCCCGTCGCTGTCGGGGCAGGCGGCTTCCGAGGGCGCCTAAAGCCGGCGCGGCGCCGCTCATTGGCGGCGCGCGGGCGGCGCGCGGCGATGGTGTCAGCGCGGGAGGCCCCGCCGTGCGCGCGGTGCCCCGGCCATGTCGCGCCTGCCGGGCCCGGCGCTCGCCGCGGCGCTGAGGGGCTGGCGCGGCGCCGCAGGTCAGACACCCCTCCTCCCCCGCACCGCCGCGCCCGCGCCCCCGGGCCCTGCTCACGGCTCTGCCCCCGCCCCCGGGGCTCCGCTGGCCATAGCTTGTTATTGCCGCGCAGAGTCCCGCAGTCACCTCCCGGCTCGCTGTGCGTGCTGCCTTCTGAACGTTGCTCTGTTTAGTGCTCGCTACGGCCTCTCGGCTCGTTGCGAGCTGCCCTATTTGACTGCTTTGTATATGGAGAGAAACAGTGGAGACACTTGTTTTAAACTAAACTTCCCAAAAAGCTGCGGTTGTATTTCATCGCTTGGGTCTCCAGTCAGGCATCACATAGCGAGCGCTTCGTGTTATGACAGTTAGTTGTCGTGCATAAGTGATCTTCAATTAGAGGCCAGTCATGCTGACTCCCCCTTAAATCCACGGTCTGTATGTTTTGCTGTAATCCCCTGAGTCTCGGCTCCCTGAAGGACAGCTGGTTTGCTTGTCTTATTCTTGCTTATGCTAGTGAAGAGTTAATTCCTGTATATTCTCAGAATCCAGAGTCATGCTATGGCAGCACAAATTGATTCTGTAGTAGGTGCGTAGTAAGTGACAACCAGTTTCCAGGACACAAGGTAGATGTTTACCCTCTGATTACCTTCTCCTTCCACGTGTCTTGATGATTTGTATCTAGGCACAAGCAGTTTTTCAGCTGCAAAAAGCTGTGGCTGAGAATTCTAAAGTGGGTAAAGTTTCTGACAATTCATATTTCATTTTAGCTTTTGTCTTACTGTGTCCACCCCCAGCTCCCAGGTGCATGCTTGTAATTTGCTTTAAAACTTGACTGCTTTGGCTGTGTGTGGATTTGGAGGTGGGATACATAACTATTCAGTCTGGCTAATGCTACTGTCCGGTAAGTTGAATACATAAACGAGGAATCTGGAGTCTTTCATACAGGAAAAAAAAAATCTCATCGCTGTATAAACCTGTGTTATTTGATGGTTTCTTTGCAGCATTATTAGTAAGAAATAGAACTGGAAAGGCCTTGAAAAATATATAGTTGTTCCAGGTTAGTGATATTTTTTGAAGACATAGTCAAGAAGAGACAATAAAAAGGTGGTGTGCTTGGAGCCCTGTGGTGTTTGAGGGAAGCAAGGGAGGGAGAGCATCGAGTACCTCCTGAGCACCAAGTGTATGAATTGGGATGTGCAAACCAACAGAGCTTCCTGGGTTTTCATGCTGGATTGTCAGGTTTAGGATACGATTGTTTCTTTCAATCTGTTTTATGAGTATTTGATCACTAGTGGAGTTGTGTGCACATTGTTTCATAAACTATGGTGGTGCACAACAGATCGAGAAGCTAAGGAGGGATATTTATGCCATATAACTGAATGAATGCTACTAAAAGTCTGATGGCTGTAGTAGAGATCAGCAGTTTTCTAACTGGAAGAGTTTTTCTCACCTTGACGTGATGCATTTCTTTTCCTCCAGTTTGCAAGTCATGTGCTCTCCGAAGATTTTCCATCCAGCCTGCCCAGCAGAAGAAGATTCCAAACCGGTATTTGGGCCAGCCCAGCCCTTTCACACACCCACACCTGCTCAAACCAGGTAAGGTTCGGGCACTGTGTAAGCTGGTCATTGGTATTCATTCTTGTCTCTGCTTTTTTTAGCATACTGATTTGTTGCAGTATACAGTTGTCTGGAGTTTCAGCTGTTTATGATTACCTTCATTAGGCAGTAATTATATTTGGGAACTAATTTCCCTGTGTGAGATGATACTGATTCCAAAAATAGGCTTCACAGGTTTGCTTTTTTACCTTTTTTCTTGTGGCGTGCTCAGGGTCCTTACTTGGGTGCTGCAGACCTTTCGTGGCAGTGGCATTTTGAGAGCTTATTGTCCTGAAAATACATATGATTTTTATTAAAAGTGAGTCTTTTGTGCAAGCTAAACTGCCATAATGCTTCCTATAAAGGTGCCATTCAGAAAAGATGACTGGGGAGGGACATTGATAGATGGACACTACTTGACTAAAGAATGTGGCCCTTCAGAGGGGATTCAGTGTGAGGAAAAGGGGAAAAAGAGACTTGTGATTACAAAGTTTGACAGCAACAATGAAAAAGAAACAGGTTTTACATTTTTTTGAGATTAATGAAAATAGGATAGCACATAGGTATGAGATGACCACAATTAAATAAATATAAAAAAAAAATTAAATATGTTCAAGAATATGTCCAGGAAAACATTCTGTTCTATGTTCTTCTTCCACAGGTGGGTATTCAGGGAGAACAGATGAATATATAACCATATAATTCTATACTTAATTGCAGAATAATTCAGGTCAGAAGGAACCTCACAGGTTAACAGGTTCACCCTGTGCTCACAGCTGGGCTTACTTCAGCATTGGATCGGGTTGCTTAGGTCACTGGTTGACAGCTCACAATAAGTGAGGCCGACCCTTTAAAAGTACTCACGGCTGAAACACTGGAACTGAATTCTAGCTGCTCATAGTATTTTTCCTTTTAATAAAGGAGAGATGTTTTCCTTAAAATAATATGATGTTGTTTTATTGCAATTATTGTTTTAAAAAACAAATGCCTTTAAGACAAAGAGAATTTCCAGGCCTCACAGTTGGAAGACAGCTGGGATTCCGATGTTCCACTGTATTGCAGCTTCTGAAATTCAGTGAACTGTGGCAATTAGAAAAGTAACTGGAATGCAGTGGAACATAGGGCATTTGCAGCATAGTATTGCCGAATTTTGAGGTCAGGTTGCATTGCAGCAGTTTCTATGTTCTCTGCAATTTCTAGATCTATAGAGTAAAACAAATATGGTGGTTTTATTTCTTTGTTGTTTGGGAGTTTGGGTTTTTTTAAAGACTTTTACACCTCATAGGTGTTGGGAATGTAAGTTTTTTAAAAGGTCTAAAATTTAACACAAATACAAGATACATAGTTTCCTTAAACTCTTTTTTCAAGGAAAAACATTTTGGGTAGAACTTTCCCCTCCCACTGCACTCATACAAAAATCCACTTACAGTACAAGTCAAATGTAAATTTTCATTCTAGAATTAATGCTGTGTGATACATTCGAGAAGAAGAAAAGATTACTGAAGTAGAAAGTGAAAAGTATCAAAATGCAATTTATGTTAATATAAGATATTAGCCAACATACTGATTAAGGCTCTTGTATTAATTTAGATCATAGTTAGGGAGTCTCACATATTTAAAAATACATACTTCATGTGTTGTTGGTTGTCCTTTCAACTTCAGTCTGCTTTTGGTGAGTATCTTGATTGCTGTACTTCATATCTTTCGTGACTGGAGCAGTTTAAAGAGTTCTTTCATCTAAGAGATCCTTTGTTTTGTGTCATTAGTAATATACTATTTAACTTTGGAAAAATCTGAATTGTTAAATATTGAGAAAAACTACATCTGCCCTGGAGAAGATCCCTTCTCTTACTCAGAGCCTGACGCCAGCCTGCAGTCCATGATTTGGGTCTGCCTGGAGTCTTGTGACTAGTTAGACTCTGCAACCTCTGTGTTTCTGCCTGATCTCCCAGAATCTGTAACACTCCATCTGCCCCTTAAGGTTTAGAACTAGTTGTTTTATGAGTTGACTTAGTGTGTATTTGAACAGACATTCTAGCTTTATCTGAGGGAATTAATGCTCAACCTCAGCAGACAAACTTCTGTTCAATGTCCAGGTGCTGTAAAACCCATCAGTTTTTAGCAGTCAAAGTTCAGTTTACCTCACCCCTTCCTCTTTTTTTTTTTTTTTTTTTTTTGCATGTCTCCATGCAAACATCCACCTGTTTTGGATTTTTATCTAGATTTACCAGGTTTGTGATTTCTGCCTTTGAGCAGAAATATGTAACACAAAATCCAATTGGCTAAAATAAATTTCTGTCTCTGTGTGATGGAGAAGCAGTTTGAGTGAGAATGTGCTGGAGGGATGGAAGCTGAAGAGGTGCACAGGAAAGCAATGGAAAGGCTTGTGAGGAATTACAGCAAGGCCATGTACACGTAAGG